TTATAACGACGAGTCTTGTGGGCTTAGCAGCCTGACGAGGAGGAGAGAAGTGGCTCTTTCACAGGTATCTGTTCTAGTGCGCTGCTCAGTGGTACCAGGGGAACCGAAACACTTACGTGATCTATACAGATGTTGATGAGGAAGAGGAAACCGCTGCAGCATTCTGCTGCTAGTGATGGCGAATTATTCTCTGAGGAGTAGATCGCCTTTTATGGATTAATTCATTGACACTGCTGAATTAAGAGGGCAGAGTATTAATTTGAATTATTAAAGTATATTGTTGCACAACTTCTTTTCTCTCTTTTGAGATATACTGTGCGGGTTTTTGATATTCTGCGTCGCCTGTGGTGAGAATACTGCAAGAATGGAGAGAAATTGGCTCAGTTCACCATGAAGTCATTAAATTTGTAAGCTGTTTGTGATCAAAAGGTGTGTTTGAGGCCATTAACTATTGGGTTTGATCATGGTTTTGCATGTAATGTCAAATGTCAGCTGTTCCCGCTATTTCCCCCTTCAAAACTGAGTAAGTAAAACAGAAACGAGCATTAAAAGCTTACTCGCTGTGTAAATGTTTTTAAGTGGCACAATCGAGGAGGTTTCTTGTGCTTTGCATTGTTTTGTACTTGTTTTTAGTAACACTTGATCCTCACTTTGCTGTGATTCAGCTGGATAGCATGTGGGTAACACAGTAGTTTATATCCATGAGTCATTTTGGCTGATGTTTTACATTTTATGGAGTAAACCATGCACAAATATTGTGAGCTAGAAAGTTTGAATTTGACAGCAGTGTGGGGGAAAAATTTAACTGTTTCTGGAGATTTTATGCAATATAGAGGCCTTCCTCAAAAAAATTAAAAGAAAACTGGGAATCAAAGGAAGGCTGTGAAATATTAGTTTTGGTTATTTTTTTAATGCATTTTTAATTTTTATTTTTTGCACTCGTAACAGACAGAAATATTTATTTGTTAAGGACTCAGTGCACGTTTGACGTATGATACCAAGTTTGCACCCCTCTGACAATAATGAGAATTTCGTGTATTTCACTTGAAGCCATATGTGGCTCTGTTTAATATATTACGCGTTGAAATCATATGTGTGACCTTTTGAGCCATATTAACCACCAGTTACACTTTTACCGGTAATATTTCAGCACTTCTCTCCTCGTGGTTCGGCACCATTAGGATGACACGTAATCCACACTGAAAGTATTTCCATTTTGTCTGGTGGAGAGATTTTTTTTAATGTCTGGGAAACATTTAATGCAAAGAGTTTTAAAAAAATGCTGAATTTCAGCTTTTTTAAAATGTAGTTACTGTTACAAAATAAATTAAAAAAACTAAAATCATTGCAGAGTATAAATGTATCATTTCTTATATATACCTTTGTGTCTAAAATTGTTTTGTTAAATAATGGATGGATGCCCAGTCTTAACTAGGTGAGCTTTATCTAACTAGGTATTAAGTTGACCCAAAAGTATAGTAGTAATGTGTTTTTTAACATATGCTGAGGTCTGGTAATCTTCTTATGGGTTTGGTGGGTTTTTTCTACATTTCTGAATAGCTTAAAAAAATATGCCCCAGTAATGGATGGTTGTATCCTCATCCATCACCCTCCTCCCAGCTACTATAACTTGAAATAGGCCATCAAGTGGCTAATGAACTGATAAGCCCGCTGTGTCCTGTGGGGCTTATGAACATCATAAGCCAAATGTTTGGGCATATTTGGTGAAACAGTTTTTTTAAAGAGCACTTACCAGGGCAAAGGACCCCCTTGACCCAGTAGCCATAGAATTTTTAAAAAGTCTCTTGACATGCATTTTTTTTTTTTTTTTTACCACAGAAAGCTATAAATCGGCCGTGGAGCAAATAATGCTGAGGATATTTTTGAGGTTACAGGTTCTGCGGTGCTGCTGCTGCTGCACGAACAATGTGTGGCCCTTTGCATTTTGAGACCTCCTAGTCTAGCTTCCTAGTATCATTATCAGTTTTGGATCTCTGTAAATCCACGGATTTGTGTGAGCAGTCTGAGAAATTAAAATAACATGCTTTTTACTGCGCTTACTTCAAATCTCTTTAGACTTCATTTTTTAAAACATCTAAATCTGTTATTATGTAGGCTATACAAAACCCCTTTAATTTAATCTTTGACAAGATTATCAAATTAATTGATGATGTCACAAACTTAAATAATTTCAGAAAATGTCGACTAAGCCTGGATAAGCACTTTCAAGGGGATACTGCTGGATTAGCTTAAAATATTTATTTATTATTTTGTATTAGTTTTTTTTGTACATATTCGCCTGAAAGTCATCATTTTATTGATTTAAAAAGAATTATTACATTTTAGCCATAAATATATACAAGTATACTATATGTACAAAGCATGCAGGCTTTTAGACATGTTTTAAGACTTTTTTTTGAATTACAGTTTTTTTTTCTTATTCAGAGCCATTAAATATTGTTTACACTTTTTCCAAACCTGTCCAATATTCCTAACCAGCTATTTTAATAATCTCCCTCAGTAATAAAAATTGGTGTTCTTTGCATTTAAATGAAAATTCACTGAGTTCAGCAGCTAATATTTATCTCTCTCTCTTCCTCTTCTTTGTCTTTTTTTTTTTTTTGCCTTATTTTATAAAAGGATCACTTACTCTCATCTGTCTAATTTTCACAACCCCCGATCAGACCACACACTCGGTTTGTAATCCTCCCCATTTCCTCCCGCGGGCGTTGAGGCCTCAACCGGCAAACTTTGCGCAGGCCGATGATGCAGAGGATGACTCGCAGTTGTTACAGACCGGACAGCAGACCAGGGGATGAGGGGCGCTGCGCGGCCCGCTGTTAGACAAAAACCAAGAGGGATTAATGCAGCGTCTGTTGGTCCCATATGCTCCTCAGGACTGCTTTGGTCTTGATTAAAACTCATTGTAGGCTGTGTATGAAGTATTGAAGTATTGTGAAGGCCGGACGCCTAATCCCTCTCATGACTTGTGCACTTTGAAGACACGAGACTCCGGGGTCAGAATAACAAGCGGAGAAAAGGAACCTTTCAGCTGCTATTGGTTAAATCACTCAGCATTAAATGCGAAAGTGACAAGTATGTTTACGGTGTGTGTATATATTTATATATAATTCTTCATGTCATGTGCGGACGCCTAAGTGTAATTGTGGGACTCATCATGCCTTTTCAAGAATGTACATTTATTCCGATTGAGATTGTTTCTGTCATAATGTTGTAGGTTCTTCACACTTTTTTAAGTGTCCTACACTTTTTTTGTGATGTGCTGCTGTATGATTACATTTAACAGGGTTACCAGCCTTTTGGTAGTCTCTGAAGGGAGTCACCTTCAAACCTTTGCCATGCTTCTTATTCTCCAGTCGCCTTTCTTGCACCTTGTCTCGTTCTCTTACAGTTTTTCCCTCCTTGTCTGGCATTTGAAAGTGACCCTGCATGCAGTCTGAACCCCCTCCCTCCATCCTCAGCAGACTCTATGAAGGAGTTGTTGACGCATCTCATGAATATTCAGTCACCCACTAACCAAAGCTATTGTTTCCGAGTTCAATTGCTTCATTGTTTATGACCATAACGAAATACATGTATGTTGCTAAACCTGGCGGTGCACTGCCCGAATTTAGGCTGTAATTTACTGTTGAATAACGCTGCAATCTGCGTGTGTAATAGGCTAAATTAAAAGGAGCATCCAGCAGTGAGAACCCATAAATAATCTGCTGTTTGTGCTTCAACCTTGAATAAGTTATACGGCCTGTTATATAATTAAGTCTTTCTAAACTGCAGTTCAACCTCATAAAACAAACACACACGCACACACACCTATTTTCTGACCACGCAGGAGTGGAATCAAAGTCGCTCTTCTCTTTAACGCTTCGATTATTTCAAGCAACGCTTTTAATTAGTGTGATCCTTTAGCGGAGACTCCAATGAAAGAGAGATTATTGGCAATGTCAAGGATGCTAATTGAATGTTGGACTTCTAACAATTAGCCCGCTGCACAACCATGTCGAGTCATTACAGATCCCATACCCGCTTTGACTTTATTGTCTGTCGTCTTAAAGAGTAACGTCGGACTTGAAAGTTGGAGCAATAAAAAGTAAATAACAACAAACCCTCTTTTAAAAGCAGCTTTCTCCTCTTGAGTCCTAAAATGTATTGATTTCTTTTCCCCCTTTAGACATAACCTCTCCTCTGCACTTAATTAAACACACCGCGCATGTGGGAATAAAGTTACAGGAATATTGTGCGGAGTTTTTCTTGCCCTCTTTTTGAGCCAATTTCTTACTTTTGTACAACTGCACTGCTATAAGCACTTCTTAAACTGTAAACCCCACAACAGAGCAAACCAAAATCAAGTGTTGTATGTTTTAATTTATTTTTCGCTTATGTGTATCTCTCACTGGTCTATTTTCAGGGCAGTGAGAGCAAATTAACGTTGTTTCTTGATATATTGATGTCATATCAGCGCACTTGTGAAACACTAAATATTAGCCTTTATATTAAAGAGCTCATCCAGGGATCAGGCGTGGAAAGCCATGCCGCGCGGGCTTTGAATAGGACCACGGCTGCCCTGCGCCCCAGAGAAACCCCCGCCGGTAAAATATTGGGATTAACATCTCTTGGAGTCCGGGATTAAACACTGCTTTCTCAAACCGCACACTCTCTTTCACTGTCTGAATTGCACTACCGGAAACAATGCGGCATTAATTCGTTCTTCTTCTTTTTTTCTTTTGCGATTAAATAAAGGGAAAGGAGAGGATTAAGTTTATGTGGCGCATTACCACTATGAACACTGGATGGCTCTGAAACTCATCGAAAGACAACACATGGGCGTTAATGCGTTGGGCTGTTTTTAAGACGTGATAGAAAAACTAATTACGCGTGAGAAAACAGAGTTTGGTCGGCACGCACAAGTGTAGGCTAATTATTACTCAGACGGCCATTACGGCCATTATTGGCTTAATTAATGCGAAAGTTCTGGTTTTCCCTCTTTGCCTCATCACGCACATATACCACCGCAGCCTCGATTGAAAAAAAAAAAAGTACCCACAAAGGTTCTGTTCCATTTTTAGGTCTTAAAGTCGTAGAAAACGAAGAACCCCCCCCTTAAACAACCATGATTTTTGCGCACATTGCCAGGGTTCCACTTTAATTTCCAACACGCACACGCACACACAGATCGTCTATTGATGAAAGAGTAAGCTCACAGGACCTTTATTCATGTCTTTTCAGCGGTGAGGTCACACCATCTTTGGAGCCAGTAAAGGATCCACAATCACCGTGTGTTGAGATCAATGGAGGGGAAGCAAGTGTAGAGCTCTCAGCAGCCGAGAGTCTTTTCCAGTATGGCTAACCCTTGATTATTACTACCATCCACCATGTGCTTGGAAAGTCTCGTCTCTCTTTGTGATGCAGTAAAAATAACCATTAGCATCTTTCGTTGGTGAAAAAAACCCCAAAAGAAACAAAAACGAAAGAAAACGAAAAAGTTAGAAATCTAATAAAATCACAGCAGAGAGTCCAATGCGAGGGGGAGGGGGGGCTCACAAATTGCATACAATACAACAGATCACAGTTTCGAAGGCTAGCACAGATAAAAAAAGAAAGAAAAAGAAACCACATATGTACCATTTATATAAGACGCACACTGATTGTCTCTTAGAAACTACATATTGATTCCTTATAAACACTTTTTTTTCTTAAATAAAGTAGTGCATCCATGTCCACACGCCATCCTCGTGTCACACACTCTGCCGGCAGGGCGGCAAAGTTGTTTAAGAAGCTTTAAGAAGGTCTGTCCATCCCGAGCACTTCAGCAGGACTATTAACTTGAGTTTTGTTCTTTTACTTCCGTGGCTGTGGTGTGTTTTTCTTTCTGAGTCCACTCTGTGACGTCCTCAACAGGTGGTGTTTTTTTGTTTGTTTGTCTGTTTTTTACGCACATAGGTACGCACTGACAGATAAAGAAGGGCTACAACCGGTGAATAAACGGGAGAGGGGAAATCTCTTTGCCAGTGCTAAAATACATTAACTTCTCCTCTAGGAGGACCAAAGACCATCATGCCAAAAACTAGAGGCCACCCTGAGAGCCCTGCCTCGGTGTACCAGGCTCACGTTTTTACCCAGTCTGAAGTGTTCTGTTGAGGGATGGCAGCGCTGTGTCTCGTGTGGTCGTCACTGTTTGTGCACTTTTTGATAGCTGATTGCTCGGTTCACAGGACCTGGAATTTCCACGAGGACGTTTGATCCTTATAATCCAAGCAATCGGCATTGAAGTTCAGCTTCCACGATGCCGCTTGGTCCTTATAATCCAAGCAGTCTGCTGTGGAGTTGAAGCCCAGGCCGGACGTCCCGTATCCCTGGGTGGAGAGGGACGCCGGGGACTGGTTCAGATGGCTTGTGACTGCGTTTGTGCTCATCGGACTGAGAGTTGACCCCGGGCCTGACAACTGGTGGTGCATGGGAGTGAGGTAAGAGCCGCAGTCCATACCCCCGAAGTAGGACGTCGACCCGGCGTAGCCCTGGCTGTAGCCCGAGGCCTGTGTGTAGGTCATGGGATAAGACCTCTGCATGCAAGAGGAGGAGGTAGATAAGGGATCTGAGAGGGGAGAAATGGACGCCGGACTCCATATGGACACTGGCGCGGTGCTGGTAGAGATGGCGGGGACCGTGGTGGTGCTGGTGGGGGGTGTGAACTGGCCGCTGGCCCCGCTTTCCGAGCTCACTTCTCTGGTTGGGGAACTTTTCTTTTTGGCAGGTCGCACTTTGTTCTGCCCCCCATTCTGCTGCTGCTGCTGCTGCTGGCGACACTTTGCCCGCCGGTTTTTAAACCAGACCTAAAGCAGGAACATAATTGAACACATTCATTACAATGTCCCCATAAATACTAACCAAGCTATACTAACCGTTTAAAATAGGAAAGGGACTATATATATGTATAAAAAGGCTTTTTTGCCCCAGTAAAATTATTTAAACGTAATTGGAACAGTCCTAATAACTGAAATATTATAAAACACGGTAAATATATTGCTGTTCGGGGTGAGGTGGGGGGCGTTTTAGAGTACATATAAAGCAAAAAATAAATAAAATAAAATAGAAAAATTTTTTTATGCTTGTGTTTCCTTTCAAATGAGTTAGAAATATATTTTCCCCAGATTAAATCAAATACAAGTACAGGTAAAATACTATTTATTTAAAATACTAAAATACTTTACAGGTTCCAGAGTGAAATGTTTCGTTTGATGCTTCTCAAATTAAAATAAAAAATAACAAAGCCACTTTTTTCATTCTACAATATATAACAATATTTTAAATATGCCTTGGCGTCAGTTGACTCACCTGTACCCGGGATTCAGGTAGATTGATTTTCAGCGCTACCTCTTCGCGCATGAATATATCAGGATACCGAGTTTTAGCAAATAACGCCTCCAAAACGTCGAGCTGTGCGCGCGTAAAAGTAGTCCGTTCTCGCCTCTGCTTCCGTGGAGTGGCTGTAAGTGCAAGAGAAACAAAAAAATCGCATAGGTTATTTATGTATACATGTACAATTTTAAAAAAGTCATCAAAGGCTAATTTGAAACTAATTACGCAGGAGTCCTGTGAGAGTAAAAAAAAACAAAAAAAAACCCGGTGGCAAATTGTAGCACTTGACATCTTTGAGTCTAACGTGCCAAAAAATTTAATGCAAACATCAAAGTAATTTGCCAGTAATTTCCTCTGGAGCCACATCTAAAAATAAAATCACACACGGAGAGACTTGAGGATTAGTCCTCACTCCAAGCTGTGTGCGCTAGAAGTTTTCTGTAGACTACTTTCCATCACATTTTGTTTGTATTGGTCTGGTCAGTCTAATAAATGTATTTATTTTTCATATTTGTTTTCCTTTTAAAAAAAAGAAAGAATAACAATAATAATACACGCAATAATAATTCGTGAATTAAAAAGGTATATGAAGGGCTGGTTAATTGCTGTAACATAATAGCAAGGAGCCCTAAGTCATTTTCAGGCTGTGTGATCACATCTTATTTAATTTTCAAAGAGGTTAAACATACCTGGATAGCCCACTGATGGATGTAAAAGATCCATGCCGGAAGTAGTTAAGCTGAGGCCATTAACTGTGTAAGGTGGTTGCTTTAGATACGACATCATGCTAATGTTTGTCTGAGTGCTGAAGTTGGAGAAAATTTTGAAAATTGATGGAGCTCCCGAGGAGTATTCGGTGTCCTCTGTTCGCCGTGTGGTCCGTATTACACCTGGCACCTGTTTAAAAGAAGAAGAAGAAAAGAAGAGGAAGACGGATATTCTCGTGAAGTGATATTGGCTCTATTTACGTGACGCTGTGGCGAAATAAGTCCTTTCCAGAGCGCATGGCTCTCCTCAAAAAGCACGAGCCACTTCTCCAGCTGTCCTCATCTTTGCAACCCCCACACGCCCTCCCACGATTAAGATAAAAAAAAAAACGAATAAAAAGAAAGGAGCACTGTGATTGCAACAGGTTAAAGCCACTATCTCCTTTATACAGTAAACACCATGAATTGAAGATAAATCTCTTCAAAATAAAAGCTAAAAATAAATAAAAGTTGCTGGCAAATTATCTATTTTATTAGGAACTAACTTTATTTTTATTTTTGAATATTATTTAGTTTATGTTAACATTAGATTGTATGTATGTAATAATCGATTGGATGAGAAGAAAAACAGCTGAAGTTGAACTGATTGTTACTAAAACGTCTGAGTCCGTTTAGTCTGACAAAGCACACAGTCAACGTTACATTTTTATGATGAAGATTAATATGCGCCCATATTGATGTGATTTAGAGTAAAAATTACTGAATTTTCAGGTTCGTTTAGTGAATAAATTGTGTTATTTTTATGTAAGAAGGAGATCATTTTAAAATATTGAACCAGTGAAAGAAAAATGGACACATGCTTTCTCGATACACATTTTTTTTTGCAGTTCTTTTAAATAAACAAATTTGCTCCTTGGTAAATTTTGACTGCTGTCACTTCAACTTCAGTGAACCTCACGCGTTATCCCCACTGAGCCTCTTGATTAGTTGCATTTTTTTTCTTTTCAATATCCAACGGTTTTAACCCCCTCATCCCAATCTGTCACACTTAAAACACACCCGTCAACCAATTGCGCGCACACACGCTCGATAATAATTACTCTGTCCAATAATTAATTATCACAAATGTTTTTTTTTCTTCGTAATTTAACGAGGCGATCCAGGTGGCAGCTAACCGAGCTGCAGTTTGGTGTGAGTCCACAGAGCTTCCTGCAAATCAAACCCGGCTCTCTTTCTTTATATTTCTTTCCTGCAAATCCTCGTGCGTTAATTATGATTTCATCGCAAATTTGCTGATATAAAGTAGGAAAAAAGCATAAAGTATCAGCAAAAGTAAAGAAATTAAACTCTCGTAGATATTTGCTTGATTGAGCTAAACTCCTAATTGTGACCCCCCCTCCCCAAACAGGATCCATCCAAATGAAGTGTTGGTTTATTGTCTTATGAATTATTTATTTTCCGAGGCAAAGGAGAGCTAGAAGACAGAGGAGGCCCAGGAATAATTTTCAGTAGCAGGCCCGAATGTTCCTTCTTTTCTTCTTCTTTTTTTCCGGTGAACTTTTCAGCCTGGACGCCTCCACAGTTTCCCATTTTTGCTGCCCTTATCCTGTATTAATTTACGCAGAATACACGAGTGCAGTGTGTGTGTATGTGTGGGAAATTTTTGTCTGAAACTTAACTCAGTAAACATGGATAGACGCCCTTGTAGCAGTCCTGGATCAGTGAGTGAGTGTGAAATTGGTAAAATATGACCTCCAGGAATCAATTAATTATTTAAAAGCCCATTATTACATCAAGAGAACTTCAGCCCAGCGCTGAGTCTGGTCTTGTTTTCAGTATCAGAAGCTATCACAATGTAATTTTATCAGTTACTGATTTACTGATGTGATTTACAATATTTCCGTTTTTTCTTTTCTTTTCTTTTCTTTTCTTTTCTTTAATATAATAAATCAGTTTGTTGTGTGCACCTATTGCACCCGTATTTGTGCACACATAAAATCAGTGACAGCCTGGGTTTAAGACGGCATATTTAATGCCAACAAATAACCTGAAACCTCCTCGCTGGGATCTCTTTTAGAGTCTTCGTGGGTTTTTATTTTAGCACCAGTTGAAACGTTTTGCTTCCTCTTCTAAAGAAAACGATTAGGCGAGGAAGTGATCAGGTGAGGAATTGCAGGTTTTAACTAAATTTCGGTAGTGTAATAATAATAATAATAATAATAATAATAATAATAATAATAATAAAGCTGAACTTACCTTGGCAGGGATGACTGGAAAATTCTTTGTCTACTTGGTGTCCTCCGGGAGAAATAATAAAAGTCAGTAGAAATCGACGACGTCCTGTCGCATAAAAGGAGAATATCACAAACCCGAGCAGAGCAGGAGCAGCCGTCTTCACTGGAGATAAAAGTTAAGCGTTGAGCGCCTACATGAGGTTCTGGAGCGTTGCGACAGCGGCGGAGTGAAGGAGGGAGGCTGCATGTACGCCTTTAGGATTTGTTGGTGTGTTGTGAGTGAAGTGGTTTGAGTTAGATTTTGTACAAAGTGCCAGCCAATGGGAGCCGCAGGACTGAGCTGAGGTCTGTCTCTGTCTCCGTCTCTCACACTGGTGGGGAGGGTTTTTTTTTCCTTTCTGGGAAACAAATGTCTCCAGCTACTTTTTTTTGACGCACAGTCTTCAGCCAATGGCAGCGAGAGGGCGACTGACAACATCCCCATCCCACCGCAGAGAGGGCACACTGATAATAAATAAACGGTACGCCGTTGGATGATGAGAGGTGGAAGGAGTTTAAAGCAAAGAAAAGTCAGTTTATTTCTCATTTTATTATATTTTTTCATGACATCAAAGGAAGCATTAAAGTAAGAGATAATTTATAAATAAAAAAGGGGGGCGAGAGGCGAAACATATCCGAAAAATAAAGACTTCTCAGAGCGTTTAATGTATGTCGAGTATTTTAGTGGGAAACTCTTTTTAAGCATTAATAATTTCACACTCTCGTCTTTACTTTACCAGTTTAAATACAACCACCGATGTTTTATAGAATAATATCACGAAAGCTTCCAGACAACCGATCAATATTAAAAGTCGATTATAAAATGTTTTATCATCTCTGTTGAGGCACCAGATTAATCTGCAGAAGAAGACCGGGAAATATAAGTAGAATTAAATATGTAGGAAAACCCCCAAAACAACAACAAATAAACCCTAAAAAAACAACAACAACAACAACAAAAAAATGGGGGACCAAAGCGGAGCTTCAAGGCTGCACCGTCCTCTCACATTCCAGCACCTCGTAAAAAAGGGGGATTTAGAGCGACTTATTTCCTTAAAACTGTCCTCCCATCCACTGAGCAGCCAGTCTGCTACCGTCAGCCCGCTGCAGGCCCTGCACCGAAATGTACAAACAATATTTCCAGGTGGGTTCCCACCGGGGAGACACCTGAGCACTTGGGGACTCGCAGCCACCGCACCTGCGGGGTACAGCCAGCCATGCAATTACACACACAAAAAAAGCTTCTCCGTTTGGCGACGTGCGGAACGACTTTTCACTGACTGCACTTGAAACGGTTCCTGCAGGAGGAAGATGTGCTCGAAGAGAAACAGACTTCTGAATATGAAGGTAGGCCTCTTTTAATTCTGTTTCATGTGCCGAAAGTGCATTTTAGTAGATTTAATAATAATAATAATATTAATTATTTATTTATTTATTTATTTATTTATTTATTTATTCCCTTTGTCTTTACCTAGTAACAGCTACTTAGTGCAGGGTTGATGTTATTTCATATTTACTGGAAGACCAACAAGCTGCAAGGGACACATAAGCCTCCTCTACGTCACTTGAATTTTGAACCTGCGTGCCCATCTCAAAATAATATGCCGAGGGTTTTTGTCACGGCTTGGTAAATGTATCATCTTAAGAGGCTTTGTGTAACACCTACACACACACACACACACACACACACACACACACACACACACACACACACACACACACACACTGTGCGCTTGCACGGACACACCCGCTCCACTTCAAACAGATTTGAATATTGATTTAGATTTATAAACACAGACAGACCGTGGGCTTTTATGACTCGTCGCTTGCCTCTCTCCGTGGCTCGTGTGCAAGGCCGGAGTCAAAGGTGCAGTGACAGCTGCCGAGAGTACCGGTTCTCGCTCAGCCTCTGGAGCTCACACAGTCTGACGCACAGCACACCTTATCAACTTTGCAAAACTCAGTGACATCTCTGTTGACAGATTTCGATCGTGGGGAAGCGGCGGTGTGGATCACGAAGCTGGATTTCTTTTAACAGCACAGCCGAGGGGAGAAAAGTTGGGAGATGTTTGAGAAACAGGAGCTGCGACACATTCAGGTAACCTTTCTTTCTTTCTTTCTTTCTTTCTTTCTTTCTTTCTTTCTTTCTTTCTTTTGCAACTCGTGCTTATTTTTTATTTTTATTCTTGAAAGATTAAGAGGAACTGCCTCATCTATTCGAAAAGGAGTCTATTAATCACTTAACCTATCACGTAGAGGCAAATTTAAACGGGTGGAATAATTAACTGTTTGATAAGTATTTTTTTTAAATTGTGTTGCTGTTTGCTTTATTACTAAAACATAGCAAAAATCATCATAGCGCACAAAGTATGAATGAAGTCCTGCACTTTCTTGAGGTTTCACATTATTTCACACGAGGGTGTGCTTGTGACTGTTACAATGTGCACGCCTAAATAACAAATAACAAAAAACAAAACAACCAAAAACAGTTTGACAGTAAAACCTTAATTTAAAAAAATATTTTATTAATGTTTCCTATGTTTGGCAGCTGCATGCAGAGGGTCTCAAACTGCGTGAAAAATGATGACGCCTTGTGCTGTTATCTGCTGGATCTCACCGTTTAAATTGCTAAATAATTTATTAAACTGTAAAGCTTGGCCCTCCTCGGGGACTTTGTATCTTAAAAGGACGTTTAAAAGGAGAAGGAGTTAAACGCCTCTGGCGAGCAGCGCTCCCACTGACTCCCGGCTAATTGACGACGACTGCTTTTATCTCCGCCTCTGCTACACTCAACCTGAGGGTGAGGATTTCACCAGGCCCGCTCCAATCTGTGATTTCTACAGTTAATGCGTAGCCATGCATCTTTTCAAACGCACTGCGCAGGCCCTGGATGTTTGACCCTTGTTTGATAGGGGGGGGAAAAATCGCATTTTTAAGATTGGATAATTACAGGCAATACAGACCCCTATTTCACTGCTCTGTGCTTTATCCAGGCGTGGAAAAGAAATAATCAACACATTATAGAATACATAAACGCACTTAAAAAAAAAAAAAAAAAAAAAAAAAGAGGAAAAAAGGTGCTTGTAAATTTCCTTAATTTCAAATAACATATTTGCCATCAAAACAGCTTTTCTCGCATCTCTTTCGCTTCTCTTTTCCCACCTATAGTTTCATATTCGCATGGCTGAATACGAGGAATGTGTTGGTGGATTTCATTCTCAGCTTAAAAAGAGACTTAAAATGGGAACAAAATCATGCAAAGCATTCATATAGAAATGATAATCTGTAATGTCAAGAAGAGCCTTTCCTTCTGCACATAGGATTTCAAATTTACCCCCAGGAAAGGTTGATTACACTTCAGTCAGCCTTTATCGTTCAATATTACTTCTGCTAACATGCTCTAGTTTTTTTCTCCCCTCTTTATTAAATACACAAAGTTATTATGTATAAACCAACAGAAATATTACTTTATAGAATTAAAACTATTACCATCCATCCAGATATCATTCAACTGCCAAAAAAACGAAATAAAAATAGGATTGTTATGTAAATGTAGTAATGAAGTTTTAAACTACTTTATTTCAAATTGTTTTTATCGCAGCTAAGAGTTAAGTTAATGTAATGATTGAGGTTAAACTCTATTGTTTATCAATGATGCAGGCAGTAATTACTGTAGCTAGATATTTGGTGTGTGTGTGTGTTTTTCTTTTTTTCCCTTTCTTTCTTTTTTTTGGTTGTGAGTGTGTGGGTGACAGAGAGAGAGGAAGAAAGAGAGAAAGATGAGCTGGAGAAGGATAATCACAAGCTGTATTTTAATTAGCCTGGCAGGTTTGATGGATACATGCAACCACTGCTGCTGCTGCAACAACTGCATAGTGAGCAAGATGCCTAAACAGAGGGCTTTCCCCGCACTCTTCCCTTATCACAAAAGAGCTAAACCTTTGTGTAATGTAACATGTAAGTGACCCCAGAGGTCATCAAAACACATCCAGTCCCCTCCCCGGGGATTAAAGGGGCAGAACCCCATTCAGTGTCTGTTTGGGAAGAGTTTGCTAACACGGAGGCACACAAGGCACGTTGATCTCCTTAAGCATGTGCAGTTTTATAAGTTGAATTTAGGCTGAAAGTTCTGTTTAAATAATTTCAGAGACGGGCACGCTGTCGAATAAGTCTGTGCTCCAGTTTTCAAGCTGGTGCTAAACTTGGGAAATTTTGGGCTTTCTTTCCCACACATTTCTCCATAAATTCAAATGCTGTGCCGCCATAATGGCACGGCTCTGTGTGTGTGTGTGTGTGTGTGTGTGTCTGTGTGTGTGTGTTTGCCAAGTTCGTTCTTTCCATTAATATGACATGTCTTTTAATTGCTGCCATAAATGTTTGTGTTGTGTTTCACGCAGGAGTTTGCCAACAAACAAAACAGATGCAATTAAACACACACTCGCCTTCAGATCATCTCTGAGGAGACAAAGTCGAGTCTGGTGGAAAGCCGACAAGGACAAACAAGGAGGGAGAGGACTCTGCTGCCTCAAGGTTAACTCTGACTGAATGAACTCTCGTCTTCACACTATCAGTCTCGCCACAAAGACACATCACTCATTGCTTTTTATAGCATCTGTGCTCTTTTTAGAAGTTGACACGATGCTCAGTTGATGTTTTATTTTTGTATCATTGGAGAAAAATTAAACCAATTTTATTTATCGACACGCCTCTGTTTATTTTGTGACTTGCAATTAATTCAAGGTTAATATGCAAATAAAGACATTTATGTTGCCATCACTGTAAGAGCACCACTATGCTCTCCTTTTCCCACCCTCTCCTTTCACCTAGCCCTCTTCTCTGTGTGCTGCTGAGGTGTCTGCGTGGCGTGGTAAAACCTGCCCTGCAGACCGGACCTCTCAAGTCTTCAAAGGTGGAAGAACTCAATGTGGGGGATTTGTTCAGGCTTATTTGGTAACCTAGGATTTGAATTGGATTCTGGGAAGCATTCATAACACATTTGGAAATGTTACATTGTGTGATTTTGTGTGTAATCCCCATAATAAATTTTAGAAATGGTCACAGCACTTGCACAACTGTGACTATTCATGATTTATCAAATGGTTTTCTTGTCTTGCCTCTTGGGGGTGAGGTGTGTGTGTTGCCCACGGGGAATGGGGGAGGCGATCTCAGAGCCGGCGAAGAGACAATTCTTCAGTTTTAACCTTTCTCTTAACAAATTTTTTTGTTTGTTTATTTGACCTGAATATGTGATAGGGTGAGGCACCATGCTTCCAGAGCGATTCTCTCAGACCCCCAACAGCACTGGAGCATTTCAACCTCTAGTGGATTATACCTCCCTGGGAGGAGGGTTAGTGTACACACACACACACACACACACACACACACACACACACACTGTAGGTACAGTTTATTAAACTTGCTGTATATTTTATAGAAGCCGCAGTCATACATTAGCACACTGGGCTGCACATTTTATTGCAGTTGAGTAGAAAACTGTGCAACTACAGCATTTTATATTTGTAGCAAGCCAGTTGTGTAATATGCAGAAATCTCTCCAAGCATGTTTTATGACATAGAAAAATATTCCTTTTTAAATTCTATAAAGGTCCTTAATGATAAGTCAAATACTGACAGGTCTCCTACTAAAGAACATCTTTGGAATTGTAAGTTACGTATCAGCTCCAGGCTACTTCTGATGCCTCCAAATTTAGCTCTTTCTCACTGCTTTTGCCCTCTCGTATAAAATGTCGATAGAGAACCTTTCCCCCCTTTCAGGAGATTAATCTGGAAAGTCACGATCAAACAGATAAAGGAAGAGAAACAATAAGCGGAGCAAAGCAGGAGCCGAGGTGGATGCTTATCATCCTTCACCATCCAAAATGAGCGATGTGTACTTGCAGAATCGATAGCTGTTGGCCAGATGCTCCAGAAGGAGCCCAAAGGGAGTGAACTTCTGTGTGAACATATATTTTGGGGGCTCTACTACTTGAATTTTGTGTCTGGTGTGTGTAACTCTCCCGCCTTGGATTGATAAGAGCGAGAGCTGTGTGTGTGTTTGTGAGTGTGTGTAAGTAAATGAGTATTTGTGCCCTGTCCAAACCCCACTTTGTTTTGAATGACACTTTGGCGATGCCCCCAGTCCCCCACTTCGACTTCTCAAGCGTACCCCCTGTCAGTGCCAACTCTGCCAATTCCTCTCATGTCTTTAATATCTCTCTTTGGGCTCTTGGGTTTTGCCAGTGAAGGCTCCCCAGTGACAGTTGGACATTGCCTTCACATTTGGGAGACAGCGGCGGGTGTCTGTAGCGTTCCCAGCCCTGGGCCTGTGGGGAATCTGTGATGGCTCGCCTGTCAGCCGGCCCCTCCCCTGTAATTAGGAGAGTAAACACAGCGTCTGGCTCGGCTTGGGGGAGAAGTAGGAGGGAGCGGAGGAGGGGACCGTCCGGCTCCCGTCCTACTGCTGCTTGAGCTGTCCAGGAGTAGCTTTGGATAGATAGCCTGTGATGTGCAGCCCCTTCACATCCTCGCAAAGGATGGAGATGTGGAGGAGAGTGCAGCCTGTTAACGTGCTGAGAAACATCAGTACCTTGTTGAGCATCAGTGAACCAGTGAGGAGGCTTTTCACTAAGCTGAACCTTTTGTTTAGAAGTAGAAAGAAACAGATCATTTAAGATGATCTGAGAGCTGTTCAAAAAAGTGATGAGAATGTTGATGAGGGTAAGCTGTGCACAAAAAGGTGTTCCTTGTATTTCTTTAACAGCATAATACTCATTTAGATCTCTAGGCAATAACATAGCACCACTACAAAGCCTCATTTCCTCTCTTCACCTCACTCCTGGTTGCTGGGGGGACTGGTCAGCTGCTGGAGGAATGTGTTGTGGGCTGGAGTTGTAGCTGTAGCTCGAGACCAGCTTTGGGGAACTGCCATGCTACCCTAAACCAGCCACTCCACACTGCCCAGTTAGGGAGGTGGGCTGCGGGAATGCTGAGACCAAGAGGGGAGGAATTTCACTGGTTGACCTGCCAGAGAAATGCCATGCAGAGAGCAATGAAGAGAGAAACCTAAAATGAGAGCGAGAGACAGAAAAGCATATCTCAGCCAATTGAAACGCAGCCTGTCAGTGTCATTTTGGTTTCGTAGGATGATTACTGATGATGGGCCAGTTGCTGAATGAGCTGGTTGCCACACAGACACTGTGGCACCGCATCTGACTTCGATCTTTTCAGGTTCAGCGGGCATAACCAAAGTAGCTTCAACAGTTTATAATCAGCACATTTAGAGATGTTTCCCATTATTTACCATGCAAATCATCCATCTGTCTTAGTGGACATTCATCACTTGAACGTGATTGGATGTATTCGTGTTTTTGCGTAAGTAAATTTGAAATCAGATGGTGTGCACCAGTGTGTACATGTGGCGGAGATGGAGTACAAAGGAGGAGGGGCGCTTGAAGGCCCAGTGTACTTGCCAAAGTCTTTACGGCGCCCAGAGAGCCATGCTGCAGCATCATGGTCCACAGCATGGAAAGACATGGGGCAGATGGGTGCAGTGTAGCAACTCAACCTCCCCCTTCTCCTCCCAAATGTGAGGCAGCAGTGGTGGGAATGGCACAGTGTGAGAGGGAGTCTAAGTTCAGGGCTGAAACAGAAAAGCTGTTGGAGGGGCATTTGGGGGCTGGGAGAAATTGAGGACTGAAAGCTGTTTTTTTTTTTTAGAGGGGGGGGGGCACCGGAGAAGCTGTTGGTGGGGCAGAGATCCTGCAATGGAGAGGGAAAGCCAATCCCCCCTGTCACATCCCTTTGAAATCCAAGTGCAGGGGCACGAGCCCAGGGAGGAGTGGCAGCGTGGCCCAGCGCCTGGGCAGACAGGCAGTCACCGCACTGGGCCGCAGTCCAGCTCGCCTGGCCTGGCCCCTTCCCACTGTAGCCCACCCCGTCTGGACCAGGCTTACGGGAGTCAGGCAGCAGACCCCCAGTGGACAGGCCGGAGCCCTGCGCTACTGAGTAGCATCTCAGATCCTCTGCTGGGTTTGAAACAGCAGAATCCCCCAGGAAGAGAGGCCCTGCGGAGCTTAGGAGGTGCCTCCACTGCCTCGCAGCTTCTCCTGCACCCAGGCCTCTGGATGGGGGCCCAGTGTAGTCTGCTGCTGATGATAACCCCCACCTCACCACCAGGCCGTTCTGCCTTCAGGGCCCTGTGCAGGTCCACACATCCCCATGGCAACAGTGGCAGGGCCGTCCACACAATGTGAGTGGGCAACAAGCCAAGTGCTGCCAAATTGGGATGAGGGAGAGACATTTTGGGAGAGTGCTCAATCCTGAATCTTTTCACCTTTATGTTGTCTCTGGGTAATCGTGTTTTTGGCTTCAGTGAGCTAATATCAGAGATTTGGCCAGAATTGTGGTCAGCGGCACCAGAGACGAGTGCACTTTTGCGAGGTTCCCCGCCTCCCGTGTTTCTTAAATTCAACTACTTCTCTTCAGGCTGGAAAACATTACTTGTCAAATATTGCTAACAGCAGCAGCAGGCATTTATAAAATTAAACCCTCGGGTGGGCTGATATATTCCGAAGCGTTCCTTGTGTGTTTAAAGAGACCTTGTCAAGGCAATATTAAGCCTGCGTAAACACAAGTAGTTCAATGACATTCGCAGCAGCCACCTAAAGTTGATTCCCCACCCCCTCCAGCCACTGGGAAGATACTAAGTGGTTGGGTGGTGTTTACTGAAAGTGGATATCTGCTGTTTGTTTTGTTGTTCTGCTTCCCGACCGTAAACACTGCATAGATTTCCTTGAGTGGTGTTTGAAACACATTTGTGTGTGCGTGCCATGTGTTATATTTGCTGATAACAGGATTTACTCAAATTGCGAATCACCAGTTGAGAAAGGTTAATTGTCAGTGCAAGTGGTAGAATGGGTACATGCAATAATTATTAGTCTAAGTTGCTTTATTATTTAATGATGCTAATTAGGCATTAGCTGTGGTCCCCTTTTTGGATCACAACTTCAAATGCATGTCAAATTGCATTAAGTTCACTTTGACATCCATTTATCAAACTAAAGGAATGCTGTTTTGTAGATGTCCTTAGTGTGTTTATTGTTGTGAAACGGATCTGTTCTTGAGGTACTGATCAGGAAATTAGCAGAGGGATTTTTAAGAAATGGCTCATTTTATTTGCCGTGAGGACAATGCACTTTATGATTGGTGCACTTTTAATGGTAGTCTTAGTAGATCGGTCATTTACGCTTTGATCAAGAAAGATATTTGATACGTGCACAAAAGCGGAAATTTGAAAGTGTCTTTTCAGCTGCACTGGATTTTACTCCACTAAGACACACAAGGTTTGGTTTGTGTGCCACCCATGTGGATTAGACTGGCATGAATCTGGCATTAAGGTTAGGTGGAAAGTGACAAGGAAAGAAAGCAAGAGATCAAGGCATGACTGCCAGTGCATGTCATTGCCCTACACTCTCATCAAATAGCCCCGTGCTGCTTATGTTGCTGCCCAGACGCAAATTAATTTGGACGCCTGGAAAGACTGCAGAGCCTGGGACTCATCTCTGCCCTTTAAAAAAGAAAAGGCACCAGCGGAGAGCACTCTTCCAACAAGGGGGTGGGCAGGGGCCGAGAGAGAGGTTTTGATGGATTTCAGTGGAGGTCAACAGAGTGTCTGAAATAA